CTCACACCTGTTAGGCAAGTGCTCTAATCACTTACATCCAAGCCCCCTTGTCCTGTTTTGCCTGGGTTATTGCTCACTTCTCCACACCATTTACTTGAGGGTAACTAGGTTGTTTCCTGGCTTTCCCCAAACAAACAAATGTGATTGACTCCTTATCCTCAGTGATCTCACTGACCTTAAAGTGAAATTCCAACTCCTCTGCATGGCCTTCAAGGATCTTGATGGCCTTCTATCTGCTCTTTTGTCCAGGCCTGTTTCTCACTATTGCTGCTTGTTCTTGCCTCCCTGGGCTGCCTATTCTGCTCTGTTACCAGGACCATGCTCTCATTCCCTCTCCACTTTCCACTGGCAAATTTTGATCCTGTATTTCTGATCCATCATCTCAAAGATGCTTCCTCTGATACTACCTGACCCCACCAGGATCCATCCTTGGAGTGAGACCTACATGTGCTCTTGTATTTTGCAGGGCCATCTCCCCACTGCAGCCCTTACCTTGTTTTGTAGTGTTCTGCGACCTGTCTCCCCCAGCAAGCTGTGAACTTCCTGAGAACAAAGGTAGCTTGTTTGTCTGTGGTTACAGTGTGCCATTTTTACCTATTGAATTGTGGTGAGCTTTATCCAACATATAATTAAGAGTATGTTCTTTTCAAAACAGCCCAACTGCCGAACTGATTGAGACCTCTATAAGGGTACCTTGTCTTGATTTTTTTTTTAAGATGAGCATTGCCTCTCCCCCAGTGTCTGCTTTTGCCTAGTGCTAGGAGCTTGGAAGAAAGGAAGAGGTAGGGGAAGAAGAAATAGGACAAGACAAAGTGGATAGTATGATAGGATTGGCGCTGTCGGGTTCCTGAGAATCCAGGGCATTGCCTGGCTTTACATGCATTGTTCTTCCTCAAGAAAATGAGATCCACTGACCTCTACTGGCTCAGGTATGTCTTGTAATCAGTTGTATCCTCACCTTCCAAACACTGGGCCTTACATATGCTAAGCATGTGTTTTTACAATGAGTTAAAGCCTTCTTCCTTAGCCACAATTATTTTCTGAAAAAATTTTTTTTTCAAGGAAAAAACTTTTCACTTACTATTGAAAACTTTATGTGGGGTTTTTAAAATATGTGTTCAGAAAAATTAAAACTTCTAGGCTTTGTACAGTGGAATTTACATCTACTTAGGAAATTTATAGCCATTCAGATTGTATTTTTTAATCTCAAGGATGCAGTATCTTTTTTCTTTTTTAAACTGCTGTTGTATCACAGGATACAAAAAAACAGATTTTTTAATATAGTTTATTTTTAGATGTAAAAATTTGTCAACTGCCCTTAATACAGGTTGGTTTAAGGAAGGCGGTTGAAGGTAGTGTTCTGTATATGTCTGTTGGTCTAATTGGTTTATAGTGTTATTTGGGTCCTCTGATTCCATATTGATCTTCTGTCTAGATGCTCTATACATCATTGAAAGTAAAGTACTAATGAATTTTATTAACTTTTGCTTATCTGAAAATGGCTTCGTTTCTTCTTCATTTTTGAAAGATAGTTTATCCAGATATAGAGTTCTTTCTTGACACTTTTTTTTTCTTAGAGTACTTTAAATATAGTATCTCACTGCTTTTAGTCCTCCATGGTTTGATGAGAAATTGACTTGTTCATGTTATTGATAATCTCATATGTGATGAGTCAATTTTCTCTTCTTGCTTTCAAGATTTTTTCTCTGATATTTGACAGTTTGATTGTAATATGTCAGATCTGGGCTTGTGGTTTAGTGGTAGAATGCTTGCCTAGTGTGCATAAGGCCCTGGGTTTAATTCTCAAAAACACCCCCCAAACCCCCACCCCCACAGTCTAGGTTTGAACCTAGTTGTGTTTATCCTCCTTGGAATTCATTCAGTTTTTTGGATGAGTAGATTCACATCTTTTGTGAATTTGTGGGAGTTTGGGGCCATTTTTCCCCAAATACATTTCTGAACATTTCTCTCTCTCCCTATAGGACTCCTATATAGAGCATCAGTATACTTAATGATGTGTTAAAGGACCCTTAGGCTGTGTTTATTTTTCTTCATTGTTTTCCCTTCTTCTAGACTGATAATTTCAGGTGTCTTATCTTCAAGTTTGCTTATTCTTTCTTCTGCCTGCCCAAAACTGCTGGTGGACTTCTCTAGTGAATTTTTCATTTCGGTTATTGTATTTTTATAAAGCTTCTGTTTGATTCCCTTTTATAATTTCTAGCTATTGATTGATATTGCCTTATATGTTCATACATCCTTAGCTCAGTTTCTTTTACTTCTTTGTCTATGGTTTCTGCAGCTCTGATTATATTTAGGACAGCTAATTTAAAGTCTTCATCTAGTAAGCCCAATGTTTGGGCCTCTTCATAAATGTTTTCTGTCAGTTTATTATGTTTTTCTGTGAATCGGCCGTACTTTGTATGCTCTGCAATTGTCTGTTGAAAATACACATTTTTAATATTATAATACAATAACTCTAGGAATCAGATTCACCCTTCTCTCCAGGGACTGCTGTTTTTGTTGAACGCCATAGCTGTTTAGTAACTTTTCTAAACTACTTTTGCCAAGATGGTATTCCTTGTTGTATGTGATCATGGAAGTCTCTGTTGTTATTGCTGTGGCCCTAATGAGGAAAAAGAAAGTTCCATCTCTTCAATTTCTTTTGAAAGACACTGCCCAGGAAGCCCTTTGGTTCTAGGGAGTTGAAATAATGAGGAGCCTGTGCTCTAGTCTAGATTTAACTTCCAGTTAAATCAAAATATATCTCCAAATTGTAGAGGATATGCTTCCTACCCTGCACCAGCAGGCTGCCCTACCAAGAAGAGACACTGTCTCCATTGCCTGCTGCCAGGGGCTGGGGCATGGGTGACTGCAACTATTAAATGCCAGTGTTCACTGAAATTTACCACTTTCTTTTTTATTTCACTTTCCAGGACACTTAACGTTTAAGTAGACATTAGAGTTCTGAAGTAGATGAATCTGCCAACTTAATGGGTATTCTTGCCAGTCTTTTTTTTTTTTTTTAATATTTATTTTTTAGTTCTCAGCGGACACAACATCTTTGTTTGTATGTGGTGCTGAGGATTGAACCCGGGCCGCACGCATGCCAGGCGAGCGCGCTATCGCTTGAGCCACATCCCCAGCCCTCTTGCCAGTCTTAATAGTTGACTTGGTGGAGACACTAGTTTATGAAGTTTCTGCTCTTCCATATTCTGTGATGTCTTGTCCTTATTGATTCTTACTAAGACAATAGTACCAATATTATAATGTCACGCTAATAACATATACTATAAGATTTTTTTTAAGAGTGATATGTCTGAAATATTTGTTTGAGTAGGTTCAGAGTTACTTCTTACAAGGTAGTAACAATTATACTTGTCCACCTCACAAATTAGTGTGGTTGACCAAAAAGAATTTTGCATTTTGAGTTTTCCATGTCTATCTAATGTGTCCCTACATAGTACTATATCATAATTGAGGTTGTTCAGAGAAAATCATATTTCTTTATTGTGTCTATAGTTACTCTAGATTGTTTCTTGCTTCTGGTTTATAGGAGACTCACTGATTCGCTGGGGTGGGGGATATTTAATACAATTTGAAACTTAGTTCAATATGACGACTTCAGAAGTCTCATTAGGTAACAGCCAACTCTTTCTGAGATAAATGCTCAGTCTCTGCTTCTCACCCTGGGATGGTGTGGGCTAAGGTGTATAGCCTGTGTGTTCTCCTGGCATTGGGACGCTGTTTCCCTTGGTTTGATATGTTCACTATTTCGTCTGGACTCTGGAATAATGTCCCTTGGTCTTCAGTTGTGTTTGCCTTACTGGCATATGCTGATGATGTCATGACGGGTGTAACTTACTGCTGAGCCTTTCTAGTTGGTTAGAACCTGGTGGTACTCCCTAGTCTCTCTTCATTTCTGGCTTTCTGAGCTCTCCTGGGTGCCTGGTTGCTGTCTGAACTGCTGACCTGGAACTTCATGCACCCTTTGCTCCAGTATCAGTCTGTTCCACAGTGGGCCCCCTGGTCGGCCACTGCCCTAGAAAATCTGAGTCTCAGACCTTACCATTGCTTGACCATGTTTGGAAAACTGTTCCTCAGGATAGGGCATCTTTTGCAAGTCTGTAGACTTACTGTGTAATCCTTCTGTTTGTGTCAGATGCTGTATATTATTCCATTTGATCTCTTTGCACTTTCTTCACTAGAAAAATCTAATGAGTCCCCCAGGAAGATGGATGCTCCCAGCAGACTAGGGCTGTTTTTGTTAGCTCTTTCCTCTCTGTAACCAAAACACCCAAAAAGAACAACTTAGAGGAGAAAAGGTTTATTTGAGGCTCATGGTTTCAGTAGTCTTAGTTCATAGATGGCCAATGACATGGCTCTGGGCCCAAGGTGAGGCAGCACATCATGGGGCAGAAGGCTGCTGAGCTCTTGGCGGGGCAGGAGGCCAGAGAGGGAAGGGGCCAATGGGAGGGTGCACGCCCCAGTGACCCACCTCCTCCAGCTCCACACCACCTGCCTACAGTTGCCAAACTAGGATGGACTGATCAGGTTATAGCTCTTACAGTCCAATCATTTCACCTCCAAGCATCCCTGCATTATCAGGAGCTTTAGTGGGGGACACCTCATTTTCAAACCATAGCAAGGGCAAAGGTCAGACCTTAGAAAAGTAAAACAGTGAAAATACTTTTCAAATGCTATCATGATTCATGATTAGACTTGTGTATATACATATATGAGGATGACATTTAAAGAGTCATGTAATTCTAAATGTACAGAAGCCTTAAATTTAAGGATTCTAGGGTGTTTTTTTTAGAGGTATTCGTAATGTCACCTAAGTGTGTGTGTACATATATGTATATAAAATGCAAAGTTAAGATACATATGTGTAGTCAAAATGTGAATATGTATATAATGTTAAGAAGTTTGCTTTCTGTGTATCACTATTTTCCTGTGACTAAAATACTGTGATTTCATGCACATATTTTCTTCTATTGTAGGACAGTTCGTGTTTGGTTAAAGAGAGACAGCGGGCAGTACTGGCCAAGCATATACCATGCAATGCCTTGTAAGTATCTGGGTCTCTGTCTTGAAAAAACAGACCTGTACCCCAACTCCCCTTTCTTTCCAGATTGCCTTCTCTGTATTTTCTTTTTGAGTAGAAAAGATTGAATGTTGGAATCTCATTATAATGAAAAGTACCATATTAAATCATTTTAGATTTTCCAAAGTTCTCACTATGTAAAGTAAGAAAATTATTCTGAAATTGACTGTATATTCAGTTTCTGAATAAGATCAATGGAAGAAGGACTACAGCACATAGGCTCTCTGATGACAGCAGTCTCCCTCTTCTTGTCAACTTTTTGTTTCACTATTTTGTAAAATGTGTTCATTGACAATTCAAAATTTTATCCAGTGATTACATTTGTGAAGTAAATTTATCCTTGCATTATTGTTGTAGCATTTATTCAAATCCAGGATACTGAACATTGAACATTTAATTAATTCTCAAAAAATTTTTTAGGATTAAAACATTCTAATTAGAAATAGATCTAATTTCCTCAACAGCATATCAGAGAAATATGTCCTTGCACTTACTGACAAATAACCAGTCTTCCAGGGAGAGTTGTATGGTGAGGGAGAACACAGAAAGACAAGTGTCACAGGTTTTCCTTCTTACGTTGAATCTGGGTTTGGGTGGTAGGAGACAACATGAAAGTAGCAGGGAGACTTTTAGAGACGAAGGGGATCAGGGAGAGGGGGCAGAGTGGTCAAGGGCAGGGAATAATCATCAAGGTATGTTATTTCCATGTCTGAGTATGTCACAGTGAAACCCATTATTCTGTATAATTAAAATGCATAATTTTTTTTATAAAAACGATGTGTTTCTTAGACCTACAAGTGAAGAAGAAATGGCTCCCCAAATTAAGAAATTTATTTTCAGTCTTATGTTTTATCTTTTTTTAAAAAAATATTTTAATTTAATTGCCATTCAAAGTTATGGTTACATTGGTCAGTCCTTTGAAGTGAAGTCCATTTAAAGAAAAGTGGATTGTTTTATATACACACACACACACACACACACGTATATATATATGTATATATATATACACACACATATGTATATATATGTATATGACAATTTTTCGTATCTCTGGTTGTATACATAGTATATATAGTATATATATATATATTCACACCAATTCGTGTCTTTATACCTGTACTTTGGATAATGGTGTCCATCACATTCCATCATCTTTAATATCCCTATGCCCCCTCCCTTCCCCTCCAAACCCTCTGCCCTAGAATAGACAAACTCATGTTTTATCTTTTAAATGAATGAAGTGTGAGCATTCTATTCCATGTTTATTTTAATGTCATAATTATTTAAGTTCATTATCAATTGTGCTAAACATTTTCTTTATTCCCCTGCCTTAAATCTTAATTAAAAGCAGCAGAAAAACTCCCAGGTTTGTCTTTTGCTCATATATCCTCTGGCTTGCTGCACCTCACCCTTAATATAAGTATCCCAGTTTGAGAAATACATGCCACTATACACAACCAAAATAAATTCATGCTGAATTATAGATGTGATTAAGTTTATGCCTCTGGCTATAGAATAACAATTTTCTCTGTTTATGAACAAATGAATTATTAAGGATATAATGGTTTTCAGTGAGTTTTGAATTATCTTTGAGGCTTTGCATGACGTTAGAATTTTTAGCATATAGATGGTAACCACAAAGCTGGACCAAATATTCAACTTCCTTTTCTGTGAAGAATAAATTTCTTGGAATTCTTTTTTAAAATTTGTTCTTATTAGTTATACATGACAGTAGAATGTATTTTGGCATATTATACATATATGGAGTATAATTTCTCATTTTTCTAATTGTACATGATGTAGAATTACATTGGTCATTTAATCACATATGCACTAGGATAGTAATGTCCAGTTCATTCAACTATTTTTCCTATTCCCATCCTCCCTCCCTTCCCTTCATTCTGCCTGGTCTAATCTAAAGTACACACACACACACACCCAGGAATATTACTCAGCCATAAAGAAGAATGAAATTATGGCATTTGCTGGTACATGGATGAAACTGGGGAATATCATGCTAATGAAATAAGCCAATACCCCCCAAAACCAAAGGCCAAATGTTTTCTTTTATATGCAGATGCTAACTCACAATAGGTAGGGGGATAGGGAAGAATAGATGTACTTTGGATTAGACAAAGTGCAATTCTTAATATTATATTCTCCTTTTATCAGTTGTGCTTCTAGCACACACTATTTATTTATAGGCTCTAGGACCAACATTATAGGTCCCAAAGAAAGATGAGCAATAGCAATGATGAGGGTTCAGGAAAACAGGAAAGGAAGAGAATTCTTCAAAAATTTTTTTCCTGGTTTTTAAGTGTTATAACCATTTTTTTTCCTTGGGTATTGCTTTTGCTTCTTTATCAAACTTGATGTAATATTTAACTGGAAGAGGTGGGGTAATGCTGTAATCTAGCAAGTTGATGTTGGCCCCAGAGATGTAGCTTTCAACTTGTCAGCCAGAGAAGAGGCAGACATGGGTGATAGTTTGAAGACTTGGGAACCTCATGAAGGCACAGGGTCTTAAGCAATTGCTTATCCATCCCTTTCCCTACACATATTTTTATCACTCTGTAGTGTTCTCTCTCTTTTTTACTTTTGGTACTGAACCCAGGGGTGAACCCAGGGGTGCTCTACTACTGAATTACATCTCTAGCTCCAGCCTTTTTACAATTTTTAATTTTGAGACAGGGTGTCACTTAGTTGCCCAGATTGGCCTTGAACCTGTGATCCTTCTGCCTCACTCTTGATTCAGGAATTACAGGCACCTGTGCACCTGGGCTTTTCGTGCTCTTTTTATTTGTCCATCTCTAAGAATACAGAGAAGCCTCTAGCTGCATTTTCACCATTAATTAGGCTGTGTGTAAGAATGACTGGCATAGGCACTCTATAAATACTTATGGAAGGATTGAGTCTAATAATAAAGATGATTTTCTCTGAGAATATTATCATCCATTTCCCTAATGATTAAACATGAGCTTTGAGAAACAGGGCCTTCTAATTATTAGCATATTTGTCTATGATTTTCTACTAAAGGGAGTAAAAATGTGACTATTCAAAGTGTTGTTTGTGGTCCAGCCTAATCAACATGACCTGAGAAATTAGTAGAACTGCACTATTGGTTTCTACCCTGGGGCTACTAAATCACAATCAGCACTTGAATAAGATCCTTTCATGATTTGAATATACATTAACATTTGAGAAGCTTATCTTGTTACATCATAACATATATATATATATATATATATATATATCATTATATATATATATATATATATATATATATATAAAAAATGTTTAAATGAACACATGAAAGCCTCATGGGTATATAATGGTAATTTATAAATATGTAGCTATATGTGTATATGTTAGTAGTCCCTCAGACGTTTACTGCATAACCAGTATAGAGGGACACAGATTAGATGCCAGGATTTGTAGATGAACATGGTCAAAATGACTTCTGTAATTTTTCATTGTTGGATGGTTTTTACTACTGTGTACAGATATAAGTAAAAAGGTGATATTCTTCACAATTGCTCAGAAATTACTTATTTTCCTAGGAATTGTGTGCATTCAGATGACATAGTAACTAACTTCTGGGCAAGAATTTAAACTTTGTTTAACTTGAAAATGGCAGTCTTATTGCATAAGAAAAGAAGCTATGTTTTGATCAGAGAACCTGAAATAAAGATTTGAGTTTCCAAAGGATTGCTTTGCAGTCTTTTCTGTTGAAAGGTTTTTTTGTTAAGAGGTTATTCAGTATTATGCTTAAGCAATGTGGTTAGTTACAAATTATGTGGTATTAATTACAAAATAAGTGAAAAGGAAATGGAATAAATCTAGAGGCTATAAAATGGACACCAGAGGCAGATATGACCATGTTGTACATTTATAGTAGTGCATGATAAGTAGTATTCCAAACACAGGAGAAAACATTCTACACATTTAAAATATGGCTTGTTTATTTTGTTAGCTAAAATACATTTTAAATAGAGTATTTTTCATGTTCTGGGCAGGAGAAGAGATGTTTGGCAGCTTTGAGAAGAAGTTTAATGAAGGAAAGGAGCAGGAGGCATTGAATGTGAAGGAATGAGTAGTGAAGGCTACTCATAATGAGTGGATGATGGGAGTCAGCCTGAAAGGACTTTGACAAGGTTGAGTGACCTTGGGGGAGTGGCAGGAGAAAGATGAAATGCAGAGGGATGCCTCAGGGTAAAACTCTAGCACTGCTGTGGGGTTGTCTCCATGGTCTCTTCTTGAGCTGCTCCTCCTTCCTGGGGAGGGGAGGAAGGAAGGAAACCGGACTTGCCTGGCTGAAGCTGTTTGCCCCTGGCCAGTCTGGTTTTCCCAGGAATTTAGCAGTTGGACCTGGGCAATGCTAGTCTTAGGGCAGACAGGTCCTGTGAACTGGGAACATATAAGCCCAAGAGCTGTGAGACTTTTTTGTACCTAGAGAAACTGATTTTCAGAAAAGGAAGGATGAACTCGGGAGGGAGGACCCTCTGACCTCTGAGGGTGGGAAAGCCCAAGCAGTGATTCCTGAAGGTTTTCTTCTTTATCTTTCTAAACTTCACCCCCATTCCTGGCTGGGTTTCTGCCTTTAAGAGAGAGCCACCTCCTGCTGGGTATGCCCATTTGTGTTTAAGCTGGCACAAGTGAGTTTCCCTTGGTTGTAGCTACAAGTATTTTACTAAGCCCAGCCCTAATTGTACAGACCTCCTAATTCCCATCTGTTAAGTTTTTCCTGGGTCTCTGATCTTTCAGTAGGAAGGACTTGCCATGGGTCCTGTTGGTGCCACTGGGGTGTTGAGCTGTACATAGTCTGGGAAAAGTAAGGGCATGTAAAGAAGAAAGGCAGAAAGTAATATTTTGCCCTCTTTCATTTGTTTGAACAGTTCACCAAACAAATGTTAAACTTTTCCTCCATAACGTGACCTATACCATGGCTATAGTGATTAAATATG